CGTTTATCATTATGACAATTCCTGGCAGCCAGCCAGAGCTTCAGTCACTTATGCTGTATTCACATACTGACGTTGTACCAACCTTCAAAGTGAGTAAATAAAATTTACTCTGCGTGCCTAACCTGATATTTCATTTCATATTGTAAGAAAATGTCTTGCGAGTTCTAAAAGGGAAAAAAATTTGCGAGTTTCCATGAACAAAAATCGGAAAACGAAAGCAAGCTGTGGCAATTCGAAATCTATTGAAATTTACATAAAATGTTTTATGCTAATATACAAAAGCTATATGATTTCAGGATTTCAGGCGTTTTACCGTAACTGACATTAGTTGCGTAGAGAAAAAGATGCGTGTGACGCAAAATGAACGTTAAGAGGGTTCCTTATTCTTTTTAAAACCACATAAGCACCGTTCTGAGTTGGTTCAAAAATATGTCTGATTGCGCTCAAGAATTACGGACCCCAAAAAACCTTCAATTAAGCCTTTTTTTAGACTAATTTTGGGGTATAAATACTATTGGAAAGTCTTATTCCATTTTCATGGTAGGATCAATGGAAATACGATCCTTACGCCGCTCATAAGGATGAAAATGGAGATATCTATGCAAGAGGTGCGCAAGACATGAAATGTGTTGGATCACAGTATTTCGAGGCTATCCGAAGACATTTCATGCGTGGGAAAAAACGATGGCTTAGAACTATCCATATCGTCTGGGGTCCAGGTAACAAAACCAACATAATCGCCTACAATCATATACTATTCGAGAATGTCGCGGTAGCTTTCAGATGAGGAGATTGGTGCTGCTGAGGGAATGGCAGTATTTTGCAAAATGGACGAGTTTCGTGATTTGAATATTGGATTCGTGCTAGATGAAGGTCTCGCTAGTGAAACTAGCGAGTACAAGGTCTATTTCGCTGAACGATGTCCATGGTGTAAGCTTATTGTGAATTTAGCAAAATTTCCATATCTATTGGCTGTTTTCTTCTATCATTTTTATATCATTTCTTTTTTTTGTTTTTTGTACAGTAAGAGGAGAGGGGAAG